CATACCACCTCAAACATATCACGAGGACCACATCTCACAAGATGAAATGTTCAATATGACAGTCCATTCCTGTGTAGAAAGGCTTTAAATCCCAGGCCTTGTTTATGATTAATGTACTTGCTATTTCCCTGAGTCTGTAAATGGTGAGAAGATACAGAAAATTGTGTGATCGTGATGAAGATTTTCACAAGACGTCGCAATTTAAGAGGACTTATCCTAGGAATAACCAGGGAATAACTAGCAACAAATCATTCACAGGGAAATCCTGTGAATGATTTATTGCTGATTTTCCCCTGGTTATTCCCGGGATATGCCCTGTTTGTGATGTGTGTGAAAATCTTCACCACGATCACATGGTTTTTCTGGGATATTGACTCTTTAAACCCCTGATTGTCCCCTGAGTTTCTCCCAAGTAATAAAGTCCATAGTCCAATGTTTGAACCACTACACCATGTTGGCTCTCCTATTTGCATTTACCACCAGAAAGAAATTATACAAAAGGCCCTTGAATTTATAATGTCAACCTCAGCAGCCAATGTATTATACTAGGTGTTACATACACAAACAGGAAAGAAAGCCTAGGTTTCAGCACAGTAGCTACAAAAACACAATGGCAGTTGGTAGCTCCCATTGTATATTCATGTCATGAATATAGCATGAATATAGTGAGAGCCATGAATATAGCAAGACCCAGCATAGTGTAGTGGTTTGAGTGTTGGACTAGGACTCAAGAGACCAGGGTTAAAATCCCAGCTCAGTCATGGAAATGTACTGGGTGTCCTTGGCAAGTCACATTCTCTCAGACTCAGAGGTTAGCAATGGCACACCTCCTCTGAAGAAATATTGCCAACAAAACCCCATGATAGGTTCACTTTAGGATCATCAACTTGAAGGCACACAACAACAACAACAAATTCATGCCATGCTCCAGCCTGAACTGTAAAGAAGCCATCCAAGGGTTGAACCTAATCATAGATAGGTCCTATAAAGTGATCACTAAAAGCCAGAGTGCCCCAAGCTCAATATAGACATGGGAGACATCATACACCACTACAAAAATGCTAAAACAGAATGCATTACTCAGAGAAGTCAGTTTCTGGATTTTATCACACCAGCCTGCTGTCCTGCCACAATTATGCTAGTCTGAGAAGCATACTGGATTGGATAATTTCTTATCACACTTTCCCCACAATAGTATTTTGGCAGCCCATGGCCACTTGGTCTGTTTTCCACACTGCTAAATGCTGCCTGCAGGAGGAAGCAGAGGAGTAATAAATTAATAATAATAATAAATTTTATTTATATACCACCCATTGGTGACCCAATCCAGACGGTTCACAACATTAAAATAATACAGCCTAAAACCAACATAATCACAGCTGCCAACAGCTTCCTGAAGCCAGCTTCTGTGTGAATGTCCAAACAGCAACCAGCTTTGGGAAGATGTTGGCAGCTACAATCACTGCAAGGGGGGAAAGGAGGAGAATCACATCCACTCGCACCACATGACTGCTTAAGAAGTGGAACTACAGATGAAAGGGCCTATTGCATGGAGGGAATAGCAGCGGTAATGGAATAATAGTGAGATTGAGAGCCTGTTCATGGGTTTTGCCCATCAATGAAAATGTGCACTATAGTAACAAATGAAATGCAAGGCAGCCACGGGACAGACATGACATCGTGTGAAAAGTACCAGTCACAGACACTTTTATCCTGTTAAAATTCCACTTTTTAGCCTCATGTGGTATAACTAGGGGGTCTGATGGAAATATTAATTTAGCTCAATAAATGGGCTTAGTTAAAAGCAGCCCTGGGATACTTCCCAACATTTATGGAGGTAGGAAGATAAAGGATTGCAGAGGCAGGGTTCTTAAATCAGTTGTATTTTATTAAGGGGAACACACACACACAGAAGAGCTAGGAAATAAAGAGGTGAGCTTTGGAATAGATTAAGAGGCTTCACTAACAGTGATACTTACCATTGACGTGGTCGCTCTTGAAGATGAGATTTGATAGTGGGAATGTGGGACCGAGCTGCTCCAGAGCACTTGCAGTGGGGCAGCAGTGAGTCAGAACTAATGGAATCCAGAGTGACATGAAGTCAACCTGAAATCCAAACTACCTGGGTAACAAATGAAATTTGAGGTCTTTTATAAGGCAAAACTAGCCTGAATCTTCATGGGAATGGTCACTCGAGATGGAGATCTTTGAATTGGGGTTGTAAATGGGCACTCTCCAGCTTGGGTGCTAAGCATCCTGTGATCAATTGCCCAGCCTTCCTGGGATGTGAGTGTGAATTTTCCCCTACCACAACTCCCAAACTGCCTACATGATTTATTGCTTTAAAGCTCATGGCAGGTGTATTGAGGGTACATTTAGGGTCATGGAGGGGCAAACTTCACCACATTTTATATCAAAAATGGAAGACTTCTGTCTATCATAACAGTGGTGAAGTCCTACAAGTCCTAGAAACCTTATAAGCATTCTCACTGGGATTTGTACTATCCAACTGTAACTTTTTCAAGCACTGATCCTCCCCCTTTGTTTTCTTTTTTTCTCCTTTGAATTTAAACAGATGGAGAAAGTCCTGAAGGATCAGAAGTTTCTATTTGGGCTACAGCTTCCAGAATCCTTCAGTCACAATGACAATGAGGATTCTAGGAGTGGTAGTTTCCCCCCCCCCCTTCCATTGCCTGCTGTAAAACAGCATAGCTTCACTGAGCTCTAGAAAGGAGACACAGAAAATCTGGGGCAAGTCTAGGAACCAGCTTTTCACATTCACTTCATTCTTATTCTCCCTCCACCATTTTAAACTCATTTACCTCTATGCAAAGTGTCATCTCATGCCACGTTCTTTTAAATTATTGAACTTGACACTGAGGCTGTAATTGCCTTGTGGAGCTTGGCGAGCTATTCTTGTCAGTTGAGCTCCTTCATTAGGAACCCTTGTGTGAAGTGTTGCTGAGGAAAAGAGCTCTTGGGGTGGGATCAGGAAAGAAAGGTATGCAGAGTTAAGAGATACAGAAGCTGGTCATTTCTGTTTGAGCCATCATGCAAATCTAAAAGTCATAATAACAATGGGATTATCATGATTGGCAGTACTTGGCCAAACTGAAGTCCTTGTTCAACCCATCTCCATGAGATCTTTTGTCCAAAAAGCAGAATTTATAATGCTTGTCTCTGATCTTATTTGATTCTACAAAGGAGATTTGCTCTTCCTTAACAAAGCCTATTTGTTAAGGAATTGAGGGGCCAGTAGCAGCTAGAGGCAATAATTAATAGGAACAAGCCCAGCTGTAATCAGGCAGTCCAGGGAACCCTCTAAGGAAACCAAGGGCCAAATATGCATTTGGTGTTAGAGAAATACAGGTAATAATTCTGCACTGCTGGATGAGTTAACAAAGACTGAGTTGAACAAACTAGAGTAGATGGGGAGTCCTTGTTTAAGCATACTAATTAGTCTTGAACAATGTAGAGAAACTCTCCTTCCCATAATACTATTACCCAAGATCACTGTACTAGCTTAATCAACAGTGGGTGCAAGTACTGGCAAAAAGAACTCACAGAACTTTTTTTAAAGGTGTATTTGCTTTTATTTGTAAGAAATTATTTTGCAATGTTTTCAGAAGTTTACATGACTACTGTTTCATCTAAAAACTTTCCACTTCATGACATTCCTTATTATTCAATACAGCCAGCCCTCTGTATCCCTGAATTCTCCATCCATGGATTTGTACATCCATGGTTTAAAAATGTTTTTAAAAAGAAATTTAAAAAAAACAAATGCTTGATTTTGCCATTTTATGGAAATGACACCATTTTACTATGCCATTGTATATAATGGGACTTGAGCATCCACAGATTTCTATATCCATGGGGATCCTAGAACCAAACCCCAATGGATATCAAGGATCCACTGTATTGATTTTATAATATATTGTGCCAAAATCCCATATCCATCATATTGCTACCTTGGCTGCCTTCAAAAAGGCAGTAAAGACGGATCTTTTCCGGCAGGCCTTCCCGGAACATCTCCCTGATTAACAAATGGTGACCCTTGGACTTATCCTTTGACCGCCATGATGTGTCCACCTGTTTAATTTGTTTTTAACTGTTATATTTATGTTTTTAATTCTAATTTAGTTTAATTCTGTTTTATGGGGGGGGGGTTGGGCCTGGGGTTGAGATTTTAGCTTGTTTTTTAAAATTGATGTACACTGCCTTGATTGCTGTGCAGAGAGGTGAGATATAAATAAAAATTTATTATTGTTATATTATTATTATATGCACCAATTGTGAACTCTAGATGAACAGGTATGATGTGAACAGGTACTATGTTACTGCCTAGTTATCTTTTGCTAGTTCTCCTCTTTCAAAACAACTGTTAATTTTTCAGTGAGGACAGTCCACCAGACTTTATCCATGCCACCAGACCTTATCCAGACAGTCCTTCTACACTTTTCTATGATCTTACTTTTTCAGCTCTAGCAAATCCAGTCAGAATTGAAACTAGTTCTGGATGTGGCAGTTATTCATTTTCCCCATCAAGAACTTAGAAAATTAATAAAGAATCTAAGTAATACTTGTGTTAGGGTTTAAGTTAAGCAGGAGCAACTCACAAAATGTGTCATTGAGGGGTTGCAGACTGCCAGGAATAGTGCAAATTGAGTCCACTTTTAGGGTTAGGGTTAGTGCTACAGAATCATGGGAATTGTTTTCTTTTCTGAGGCATTGAGCCTTCTCTGTCAGAGAGCTCTGGTGCCAAAATAAAATACAGTTTCCATGATTCCCTAACCTTAACCCTAACCCTAAAAGTGGACTCAATTTGCACTATTTCTGGCAGTCTGCAACCCCCATTGTTGCTGTTCTTGCATACCTTCAGATCATTTCTGACCCTAAGGCAAGTCTACCATGGAGTTTTCTTGGCAAGTTTTTTTCAGAGAGGGTTTGCCATTGCCATCCCCTGAGGCTTAGAGAGTGACTTGCCCAAGGTCACCCAGTGCCTTAACTAGGATTCAAACCCTGATCTCCAGAGTCATAGTCCAGTACTCAAACCACTACACCACACTGGCTCCATTGCTTAATGGAATTCACCAACACATCTTATGGTGACAGTCACATGATTATATGACTGTGGGTTTTTTTTAGAGGGCTAGACAAAATCATGTAGGGAAGGCCTGTCAACAATTATTAGCAATGAGAACAAGTGGAACCATCATGCACAGAGGCAGGTCACCTCTGCAGTCACCAACTGCTAGGGATGCGGGAAGACAGCAGGGGAGAAATATCAACTTCATGTCCTCCTGAAGCATAATCATAAGTTTTTGGCTGGATGCCATAAGAAACAGAAAAAATGGATTAAATGCCCCTTGGTATCAAGTCCAGCAGGATACCAGGTTCAGAAAATCAGGCTTCAGTAGTTAAAACTCAGAAAATCTTTATCTAAGAATTTTAGATCCAGTCCAGTGACATTCATAGTTAGAACTGACTAGTAAACATTACAATCACCTAATTAAACTGCACAGAATTTCAAATTTCAGGCAGGCTTGATTCTTACTGGTTACAATTAATAAACATACTTCTTTTTTTCTTACATTACCCCTTTCTTTGTTGTTGAGCTCAGAATCTTTCATAGGAACAACCTTGGCTCATGCTATTCTCCCACATTATCTCACTACTTGTATTTGGGATCACCATGACTTAGCAATGCCATTTCTATTGCATAACCTATCACATCTAATTCCAATATTTTATGGTAGGCAAGTTGCCTATGCAACTCCTGACACTTGGTTAGATACAACAACACAATTCTTATAAATATAGATGAATCTTTTATATCACAGTAAAGACGTGTGCCATGTACAGAAAACTATTGCTCTATTAAAAGCTGAGTTCCCCCAGGGATGATCCATTAGGGAATGCATGGGAATAGTAAAGGGGGTATCTGCTAGTACTGGGTTGTGCTGAAAACCAGTGATAGATAGAGCTTGAACCAAAAGCAAGTAAGCTCACCCATTTTCTCTCTCTGTTCCTATCACTTTCCTTCTATTCACCTCTGCCACATCCTAACCTATTCATTCCTTCTCTCTCCTTCTTCCTTCTTCCTTCCCACCTAGCAAGCTGCTAGGGAAAGACCAAGGTCTCTTTCAGAGATTTGGGTTGAACTCTTGAGACAAAAGGGCACATGAAATCAAGCTGAGAACCACATGCAGGCCCAGGAGTATAGGTTGTTCACTCCTGCTTTATGTAGCCAATTATCTTGTTTTCCACAGTAGCCAATTCTGAGCAGCCCACCTGGAATCCTTACAGTAGAGGACTCTGAGATGCATTCTACTTATCCCATACCTTAATGCAGCCTTGGCTGTATGTATGAAGACAAGTGAATTTGTTGTACCTGAATAGAAAGAGTGTAGGGTTTCTCTGGAGAAAACCAATGTGTTGTAGTTGTTTGAATGTTAAACTAGGGCTCTGGAAGACCAGGATTCAAATCCTCCTTTATCCATGGAAGCCCACTGGGTGACCTTGGACAAGTCACATTATTTCAGCCTCAGAGGAAGGCATTAGTAAACCCTCTCTAAAAATATTGCCAAGAAAACCCTGAGATCAGTTTGCTTTAGGGTTGCCATAAATCAAAAATTACTGGAAGGTGCACAATAACAACATGGGCTTCTCTGGAGAAAATCAAGGGCTTAACAAAGTTGGCTGGGGTCCAAAAGGTCCATGTTTTGAAAAGGATCAGGAACAAAGCATCCATCACATTCTAGAAGAATTCTATAGCTGGTAGTCCTAAACTGAATTAAAATAAATGAGCTAGAAAACCACTGTCTTGAAGCCATGAAAAACTGTTACCCAAACTCTACAGTATTTATAACAGACTGAAACAAATCCAAAAGAAGCTTCAGGTTTAGGGGAAATCTAATGCTGCACTTATTTTATGTCCTATCCTCAGTGTGGATATTTGGGACCAATGTATTTCAATGTCATTTTCTGAGTGGATGGTTAGCATCTCATTAAAAATAATAGCACAATAGGACAACAGATTCAAATTCAAGCATTTCTGCAAACTGTGTATTGCTCAAAATTTAAGTCATGTTTTAAAGTACTTCATTCTCATTACTGTTATCTTAATATAGGGAAAGGCTCTTGTTTGCAAGAAAAGACATTTAAACCCAAAAGTCACTGTGCCACATATTGACTGTTTCTGATTTTTACACCTTTGCAAAAGCAAACCAGGGTGATTTTATATGCATATCATAAACTACGTTTGCAAAATACATTATTAAACTCTGCTGGAATCCTTTTTCTAATCTCTACAAAAGGCTGTCAAGGTCAAACATTTTCCTTTTCTGATTTGTTTGCAATATAGCACCCCCTCATAGCATCAATATCAGAACAAAAATTGGGTGGGAGGAAGGTTATGTGTATATAGCTATGACAGATTTGCTACATGCACCTTGATGAATATTGCTTCCTCTCTCCATATACTAATATATCAGAGCAACACAAGCAGGTCAAATCCCAATTGCATCTATTTGCTCTCAATTTAAATAATCTATTCAGCAGGAGAGGCCAGATATAAAATATAGAATTTCTTGTGTCATGTTTTCTTTGCCAACAGTTTGTTTGCACACTTTTCAAAGAATAATATTGCTTCAAATAAACTGAATTTCTTTAACACATACAAAGCAAGTCTCCATTAGTTTTAATTGTTTACATCTTAAAGCCAGAAATGAACATCAGGTATTCTAATTTAAATCATTAATGTTCACTCATCTATACAGGGCACTATGTAACTGCAAATCATGAGTTACAAAACTGTTGGATAAACAAACCTCTCTTCTACATATGAGTTTATCAGATGAACAAACATTAAATGTTGAATTATCAGATAATTCATTCAATTTGTATTTACTCATTAACAAAAACAATTGCACTGCTAACATAATCTCCCAAATTTGCCAGTGAAATGTAGATTCTCAGCCTGGATTAGCAAATATAAATTAAAATGCAATAAATATTTGACTTGCCTTGAATATTCATTGTAGTATTCACCTGGTATTTGTACAAGTTTGTGCCAAACATGGTGTATAAAATTCTAGGAGATGAATTTCAAAAATACTGTGATTGCTACACTGAAGAGTATTCATCCTTTTCCATAACTGCCAATTTTTCCAATTTGGTGCTCTCCATATATGGCTGTAATATCTATAATTGTATGTAGAATGATGGTTGTAGTCTATCTTTTGAGGTTGCCAGACTGACAAAAGCTGCTTTGTGCTATCTGTATATTTTCCCAACTAAATCATGAGTTCAATTTTCAAGCAATTTTGTTCTAGACCAAACCCCAAGGTCCCACTGTAATATATATATATATATATTACAGTGGGACCTTGGGGTTTGGTTCAAGGATGACCACCACCCTGTGGATACCAAAATCTGTAAATGCGTAAGTCCCATTATATACAATTGCATAGTAAAATGGTGTCCCTTGCATAAAATGGCAAATTCAATCTTTGCTTTTTTTTTTTTTTATGAGAGGGGGGAATATTTTCAAGCCATTGCTGGTTAAATCCATGGATGCAGAATCTGTGGATATTGAGGGGTGACTGTACTAAAGTATTTTTAAAAAAGCAATTCCAGGCAGAAGCTCAGTTTCTGTATAAGATTTTCTTTCCGCAGCATTTTAAAAGAATGAATCAGTTAATCACAGATTTGGAAAGAACGAGACATCCATCTATGCAGCTTGTTATTCAGATGTATTCTGAGTCTACAAACATGCTGCTAATCAAAACCCCAAACAATAGCATGCTATATAAGAGAAAAGTTCCACCACAAAAATCTGCTGCAAAGCAAATGGATGTAGATTGCTTAAATGGGCAAAAGAGTCCATATGTTACCCAAAAAAGAGAGTCATTCACCAGAGTGATTCAAAAGGGAAGTCTTTCCTAGCCAAAATTGCAGTGGACAATCAGGCCCCAAGAGTGAGCAGCTTGGAAGATCTCACCTCCCTATCATCTTGAACACACCCAATCTCATTTGATGTTGGATACTAAGCAAAGTCAGGCCTAGTTAATGTTTAGGTGGAAGACTACCAGGGTGGAAGACTACCATGGGATCTCCAGGACTAAAAAGAATACTGCCTGAAACCCTGGAAAGTCTCTCCCAGTCAGAGCTTGCAAGATTGGGCTAGATCAGGGGTAGGCAACCTTTCCCCTTTAAGGGCCGAGGGACTTCAGCTCCCAGAATCCCAGGAGCTATTGGCCAACATAGGACTATTGGCCAACATAGCTGAGGCTTCTGGGAACTGAAGTCCCTCGGCCCTTAAAGGGGAAAGGTTGCCTATCCCTGGGCTAGATGAACCAGTGGGTTGATTCAGTATAAGTCAAATCCCTACGTTGCTCTGAAGGTCTAGTTATTGAGTTGTCACTGGACAGACATGAGAAAAATTGCCCTTTGTCCATTGTCTATTCTTTGACAAGGACAAATCAATTAAAGACATGATGTCAGAAATATCTTATGTTGCAGAAGAAACAAGTGTGAGAAATAGCCCTTTTACTTCTTCCCCCCACCCCAGAACTGTGTCAGTTTGCCTTCAGGAAGCTGTCTTATGCTGAGATACTGCATTGTTCCATGCAGTTGATGATTATCTGTGCTGATTGGCAATGTTTCTTCAAGACTCATATGGATCTTTCCCAGCCTTAGCTGGAGATACTAGAGCAGGGGCAGGCAACCTTTCTCCTTTAAGGGCCGAGGGACTTCAGCTCCCAGAATCCAAGGAGCTATTGGCCAACATGGGACTATTGGCCAACATGGCTGAGGCTTCTGGGTGATGAAGTCCCTCGGCCCTTAAAGGGGAAAGGTTGCCTACCCCTGTACTAGAGGTTGAACAAGAATGTGAAAAGTGTCATGCTGGCTGTGGATTTTGGGAAATGTAGCCCTCAAAATTTTTTTCCATGTTTTGTATTGAGTCTGGGAGTTTTGCATGCAAATTATGTTCTTGAGCTGGAACCTCTGCCCTGACAATATTGTAGCCACATTCTACAAACATAAAATTTCTTACATTCAGCCATTC